ATAAGCATTATTTTATCTTTATAGGATGACTGCCCTCCCCTCTATAAACAAATATCACAATACTGAAAGAACATAAGCATTATTTTATCTTTATAGGATGACTGCCCTCCCCTCTATAAACAAATATCACAATACTGATTCAACACACTCCTACGTGGTAAAACAACATCCTGCAACACAACTTCTACTGATTAAAGAATCTACTTACTGAAGTGTTAGTCGTGTTAATGTAAAGTGCTTCCTCAAGATGAAGGAATATTCTGAAGTTAGAGTTCTTTTGACTCATAGAATAAATGTACTTAGCAGGTAATGAAATTTAAAGAAACTTACTATTACACGTTGGAACAGATTTGTCCCATAATCCACTAGGAAGACACCACATCGTATATTCTTCCTTGCCTGTAGGTCCTCTTTCATCGGTCAGCTCGTACCCAGGGTTACATACATAGGTGACATTCCTACCAAAGATATAAACATGAGTTAGCTGTCGTCCATTTCTCACATAACCTGGATCACCACATTGTACAGGTTCACAACTCATGTTAGGGGGCAGCCATATGCTAGTTTTATCTTTCAACACACAGTACGCAGTATTTTCTCCATGATGATAATAACCTGGAAAACAGTTGTATGTGATAGTTGTACCAACACGATAAGGTCGATTTTTCCCTTTCAGATCAGGCTTGGCTTCAGCAACATCTGGTGGCTCACCACAGTCTATAAGAAAAGAAAGATTATACTACATTTTCATCCCAAGATCAATAAAAATTCTCGGTTATATCAATTATAAACTACCTTAAGTACACTGATGAACCTTTATATATTCGATCTCTTAACATAATAGTGAACTTGAAATTCCAAAAGTACAGACATAATTACCAATATTCTATTCCACGTACATATGTGTAAATAAAATCATGTACTTTCAATAATTACAAAATATCCAGTATCTTGATTTATATTAATTAATTATTATTTATACAAGTCTACAAGTAAAACACAACACAGATATACAGCGTAAGAGATTGTATACCTATACATGCAAACTTACAAACGTTTTTTAAGGGTATGTTTCATGATGTTTACATTGCTATGTTAATTAAATAAAATTTATGCTGATATTGATACATTTAGAATTTAAATGTGATCCATCTCTGAACAAAACTACATATGACATTCGAAATGACCCTCATAATTTGAAACCTACTGTTTAGCACAATACTTGGCTACTGAAATGACAAAATTAAAAAGCCTAACCAGTATAGGTCACAAAGTATTCTGATTTTTTTTTTTCTGCTGGAATCATGCCTTTCTTTACTAAACCAGAAAACACTTTCTTTGAAACACTAAAATATCATGCTTTTATAATTGTAAAATACAAGAATTTCAGATGAGAAAGTTCTGTGATGTAATCTTTCCAAAAGAGGTCAATTTTAGGTGACATTTGCAATTGAAAATCACAGTTTTTGAATATATATATAATAAAATAATTGGGACTTTTACATTGTTCAGTTATAAACTACAGAAATGATCCAAAGCATGTACATATTGTTGTGGTATTGTCAGATTAAACTGATTTCTGTTTTAACAGGAGGATTAACAGGATAAAATATTAAGTAAATCTGAATTTAACTATTAACTGAGTTCAAGCTAAGAAATAACAGACTGGACACAATGTGTAATACCAAATTAAAACAATATTGTTACGACAGCGGAAATCGCGTGACACTGGGAGCATGTGCTGGAGTTCTAGAAAGATCGAGGAACCTGTCGAACGTCCTAGTGTTTGCTAGATATGCCCTCTATTTTGTATATATAAGACCGGCGAGAAGTGACGATATAGATAGATAGATAGAGATAGATAACTGCAGACAGAGAGAGACGGACAATTGAGTCAAGCGCGGTAATAAGTAAAATGCGTGAATCGTTCGTTGTGAATTATAGCGTGTGTTTAAGTTAAAGTGACTGTGGAAATTAAACATCTTGCAAAGTTGTACTGAGAAATAATAAACTAGTTTTATTTAAGAAATGACTGGGAGGTAATAACCTAGTCATTGGATGTTCACAAAGACTAGTATACTTATGAAACTGGTCACTTGACTCAAAATATAAAGTGAGTGATTATTATTATTTTATGTTCAGCACTTTGATTCCCTAATTAAAGCAGCATGTTCTTTAAGTTTTTTGTGTTACTGTAGTTTTATTATTTTAATATTCCGTAATCAACAAAAATGTAGACAAATCAACGGTTGGATTGTTTTGGGCCTAATCATAATGTAAACCAAGAATGGCCATTGCAGCGGTTGGATTGTTTTAGGCCTAATCATAATGTAAACCAAGAATGGCCAAATCAGCGGTTGGATTGTTTTGGGCCTAATCATAATGTAAACCAAGAATGGCCATTGCAGCTATGTCTTGTGTTCCTTCTGGGATTTTTTAGTTGTCATCATGATCACTGACTTGTGTTTGAAATGATAAATTTAACATTGTAGGTGATTGTTTGTTTATTTTGGTATTTAAATCATGTATGGGTGTCAGCTTAAAATTGTGTGTTTCACACCAAAACACTATAGTTTGTAGTATCCATACTACAAACTGACATAAGCTTCAACTTAAGTTACAGAATTTACCTTTTTCTCTTTTTACCCCCTTCTTTCTTTCATTTTAGATTAATTTTATATATGTTTTTAGTTTTTGTGTTTTTATGTCCTGAAAAAAGGATGTACTCTTTACTAATTATAAATCCCCATCACACCAAACATGCTCGCCCTTTCAGCTGTGGGGGGCGTTATAATGTAACGGTCAATCCCACTATTTGTTGGTAAAAGAGTAGCCCAAGAGTTGGCGGTGGGTGGTGATGACTAGCTGCCTTCCCTCTAGTCTTACACTGCTGAATTAGGGACGGCTAGCACAGATAGCTCTCGTGTAGCTTTGCGCGAAATTCAAAAACAAAACAAAACAAACTAATCATAAAATGGTGAAATTAGCAGTTCTTTCAACTGAGCAGATACATACGCAAAATGGCCACATGCTTGTGGAAAACTTCTTAACATCAAAACGTAATTTTGCCAAAAAAAAAAAAAAATCTCCACCTTGAAATACACCCCGTATGTATAATTTAACAAAGTTCTAACATAAAAATAATTTAATGATATTAAACAGTATCCAACTTCATAGGATGGGAATCAATTTTCCCGCCATCTGTAATATGCATGTTTATAACACGATAATCTGCTTATAAAGTCCCATGAACACTTGTTTAAAACTATAACTAAAATAGATAATTAGTATATAAAGTATTACTAACCTTTTCCACAGCTGATATTACAGAACATCAATAATAGCATCAACAGAATCCATTCATTTCGTTGAAAATACAGCAAAAGTTGCATAATGATGTAAAGAAATCAGGAAAAATTCTGTAAGAGAAAATAATGAACATTTAAAATACAAAACTACAAACAATTCTATTTAATAAATTAAAAAATCATAAATTCTATTACATTTTTAGCTTTAACGATTTTTTTTCTATCATCTGACTATCAAATTTATCCAATAAGAGACCAATTTTTTCCCCGGTATTATTACAAATACATACACAACTACAGTCTGATAAAATTAGAAAACAGGTAATACAATATTGTCTTAAAAATCAAACAAAATCAAATGCACCAAATAGATTGTATAACGTTCGTTTGTTTCAGATTTAACGCAAAGCTACACGAGGGCTATCTGCGCTAGCCGTCCCTAATTTAGCAGTGTAAGACTAGAGGGAAGGCAGCTAGTTATTACCACCCACCGCCAACTCTTGGGCTACTCTTTTTCCAACGAATAGTGGGATTGACCACCACATTATAACGCCCCCACGGCTGAAAGGGCGAGCATGTTTGGTGGGATGGGGAATCGAACCCGTGACCCTCAGATTGCGAGTCAAACACCACCTGGCCGCGCCGGGCTGATTGTATAAGGAGATTCCAAAACAATAAATTCCATGTTTTTTTCATAATTTTATATTCTTCAAAGTCAGGCAACAAAATGTATATATCTGTTGCTTTTTTTAATGTTAGTTTCCTTAGAAATATTGAATAAAATGTGTAATATATATGTAATAATTTAGGTTACTCTGTATTTCTATTAGAATCATTTTGTATCATTAGCTTATTGAGTTAAGACTAACATGAATTTCCTAAGCTGGCTAAATGTCAAGACATTATTTAGGATAATAATGTCTTGACAAAACCATAACTCGTGTGAAAATATTTAAGGGATTTCGTCCGTTTCTTTTGTCGACTACCTTCGACTTGTTAATGTATGTCTTTATCGTTATTAATGACAAGTTAGACAAACTGAAACCTGTGACTGAAGCGTAGATTCCTGCTGTCAACAGGATCAATGTCCAGACTGGACACCAATCTATCTACTTAAATCTTACAGAACTCTGACTTTAATATGCAACCAAAAAATATTGCTAATAGCAAGGGTACCCAACTGATAAATCAAAGAATTTCAATCATTAAAAGTTTCTCTATTACTACTTTGCATACACCTAGTTATAACTATGTATTAAATTAATTATCGGTTTAACTTTTAGTTCTGATCATAATTTGAGGATAATTTATATTTACAGTTTAATTTTTACACTACCTAGGAACATATAATTTTCATATAAAAATGGAATTTAAATAACATTTATATGTGCATATGTAAGGCAAGCAAATAAGCAGAATAAAATATTAAGGAAGAAATTGAGGAGTTTCTGGGTAGAAATAGGTGCTTAATGACTTGTAAGAACAGACTTTCTTCAATTCCTTCATTCAATAACAAGACATGTGTGTGTTCATATGTTATTTAATGACATATAAAAAAATACTGCCATTGGTAAATGTTCAAAACCACAGTTGATGTGTTTGTGAAACACATAATTGTCGGTTTTTTTCTCAATTCTGTAATTAGCAACAGTTTCAAGTATCAATTATATAATTAATTTTACTTTATGGTAGATGGTAGCTACATGGTAAAGCACATTATGTCAGATTACCACTTTCTAAATGGAGCAGGTGATCTGTGTTTAAAGCTCGATACCAACACCGGTCTTTTATTCTACGTTGGTATCCATAGTTTGCTCGACTACCCTCTCCTAAATGAGGTAGTAAATCTCTGTTAAAATCTCTTACTATCTTATTTTCTTCATATATGTGTGATGTACTTGAAATTCACATTGTTAAAGGGTCTTTTTTTTTTATGTATTTATCAGTTTTTACCAAAATATTCATGCTGCAAAGCACTCTGTTCAACTAGGAAAGAACTGCAGATGAAAATCAAAAACTAACACCGGCATGTCAGTGAGTAGATGGAATATATTATGGCCAACCAGACTGTTCCATCACTAAGAAGCAAAGTTATGTAACTAAAATCCAAAAGAAAACACTTTCCTTATTAGTTCCAAAATGTCCGATGACTTTGATACTAATCCATATACAACACAACATATATACATATACAATCAAACACGCCCTCTACATTTACCTATTCACTTCACAGTTCAATCCCAGAGAAAACAATTTCGAAAAGATGCAACAAGGCAAGAATAATGTACACCCGTAGTAGGGAGGAAGGGTGGGAAAGGTAAGGAAGTAATGTACTTACGTCTCTGCACAAAGTAGTTATAATCCCATATTGGTGTGGTTGAGGGGGGCCAGTGTAACTGACATACCTAGGCGAGTTCCTTCAGGGAAGGAAAAATGTTATGGAGTGTGACCCAATATAGTAGAGGCTTACTTGAGGGGCAATGCTCATGGAAAACTGTATCCATCTCTTTACCTGGATGTGTGTGTGTGTGTTTTCTTATAGCAAAGCCACATTGGGCTATCTGCTGTGTCCACCGATGGGATTCAAATCCCTGATTTCAGCAGTGTCAATCTGAAGACTTACCGCTCTCCAACAAGGGGACTTGCCAAAATGAAGCAATGTATCACACGGCTGGATGGAAGAAGACTTGACCAACAAAGAATTTATACACAACAGATCAGTTTGACATGAGGTACTAGTGTGGCTAGGGCAATGACCAGACACCAATGACCAGACCATATGGTTTGGTATGTGTTTTATTGTACAATTTACTCATCTTACATAAAAGAATGGGGACTGAGTTCTTTCCTATCATATGAAGCAGACACTTTGCCCCAGGTGGCTAACAAAATTAGTGGGAAACTGGCACATTATATAATAAGGGTGACCTGCACTACAATGACATAGACACACCTACCTTTCTTCTCACTGCATTGTGTTGCCCACCTGGACTCTCTCTGGAAGAATCACACAACCGGCAGGGAACCCTCCAAGTCGATCATCTCATCAGCCAGGAACTGGGATTAGAAAGGGCCTCCCATGCTCTAACTGAAGACTAGAAGTGAAGAAATTCACACTGAGGAAATAATGGAGAGGTTCCAGACCTGATCACACTTAACCACCACAAAGGTCTTTTGCTGAAGAAAGTGCAATTAGTTACTGCCAAATCTAATTTGATAAACCAGCATGCACAAGCCAGGGAAGTTGATAGAAACTCCATCCAGAGATGGCTTTTTCCATGATATTACATGAAAGGTATGGTCTGGAATGGACAATGAAAAAATATATATATATACGAACATAGAGGTCTTATACAAAGCTCCATCTAAACAGTAGGCACTTTAGGATCCAGGGTGGATAACATTGATGCTTTCTGTTACCACTGACTCGATGTGAGTTTAAAGAAGTAAGTATACCCTGTGAAGCAACACCAGAGGGAAATAATATCCTGAGGATGATGAAACAGCCAGATGGTGGAGAAAATGGGAGACAAAGGTGTTGGGTGTAGTATACATTCCAGCCTGGAGGATCCTGTCCAATGGTCATCAGTGCAAGACCAGAGAGAGAGTCAAGTGGCAGATTTGATGTGATGAAATGTGATACATTCTTCAAGCATATTTATTCAGGGAGGAATAAATAATATAAATGAGCTGATAAATCCATCTCGTAGTAGAGGACAAGAGATTCCTGAAGAAGGAGGGGTATCATTGCAGGACTAAATTATTGTGGAAACCCTGAAATTGATATGCCTGTGCTAAGTAATACCTGACTGCCCAAACTGGAAACAAAAGGCAATCAGGGTCAATATGATTATTGGTGGTCAAGATCATTGGACAAGATATGGGAAAAAAAGGTACAATCTTCCTACTGAGCCACTAAAGTTTTAGGAAGGAATGTGTAGTCAGGGAATAAAATCAAGGAAGGTCTGTGAAACAATGTATGAAAGGCATCCAATGCATAAAGATCTGATTTGTGAATATCACAAGCCAGGAGAAGAAAATGGGTTTTAAGAAAGAGACCTGAGTAACAGTAGGTAGGTCCTCATTAAGATTTCAGTAAGGCATAAGAACTGTATAAAGGGGGATGAATTAGGAAGGACTAGAACAAGATAGAAAAGACAGGGGAGGAGAAGACAACCACAGCAAAAATGGTGAAAAGTAGTCAGCAAGTCTGCACCTGTAGAAACTGACAATCCTTGGTTGAACAATCAGGTAAAGAAGACCAAAAGATTAGCAACAGTAGGATGGCCTGGTGGTAGAGAGTGGCAGATGAACAAGCAACAACAAACATGCCACTTTAGCTGATACACACAGAGAGCAGAAGGATGGCATGGACATGATAAAAGAAGGGCTAGGCAGCCAGAGACCAACAAGCAAGGGACTATACAAATTCCATGTCTGAAGACAAAGAGATGACACTCACAGGTAAAAGAAAAATATATGGCATTGGAGCAAGAGAGACTGGGATGGAGACAGAGGAAGAACTCCCCTGGATGCCAGTCAGTGAAGAAGAGGAAACCAGTTAAAAAGGTGCTATCAACAGGACCCAACAAGGAGTGTCATAAATCGATACCAAGATACACTGAAAGAAATGAGATCAGTCCTGGCTGAGATCATCAACAGCCAGAGTTGCTAGGTGAAGTACCAGAAGTCAGAAGAAGGACAGTTTGATTCTGAGAGGAGTGGCAAAAGTAGCAATCATTAGCGTGCTCAACTGAGAACAAATCCAATGAAATACTTGAGGATAGAGTGAACATTCCATATGGAGAATCCTGTACACTCAAGAGAGTTCATCCACCACCATGTTTAAAGTCCCCAGGACATAAAAGGCTTTCAGAGAAACCTGATTTGAGTGGGCCCAAAGCAGAAAGTCCAAAATGTGGAAGCAAAGGTACCTGGAGCAAGTCCCATCCTGATGACTGATATTGGAAACAGCCACAAAATTGTCAGAGTGGATCATAACCAAGTGATCCACAAGATGGGGTTGGAAATAAAAACACACCCAATGGGTAGCCAAGAGTTCTAAAATACTTATGTGGAAGGTACACTCCACAGGAGACCAAACCCATAGG